AGACTCCGATCTTTTGGAAGAAAAAAGACTACAAGTTGACACGATGCTAAAAAAATCACTTGCAGATAAGGAGATTGACTTCATTGAAAACAAAGTTTTTGATTTCGATTGGAAATATCTTCTTCACGATGGAATCCACTTAAATGACAACGGTACAAACGTTTTAGGTTATGATTCAGTGAACTTTATTAATACTATCTGACTGTTCTTTGATCTTTTACAACATGATGAAAATAGGATATCAGGTATTAATCCTTCTAAGAAAAAAACGAAAAGTCAACTGACTACACATAAAGATCATATTTCAAGTATACCACTAAGGCCTAACACATTAAGATGCTCATCAGATCTAAGTATTACACCTGACTGCTTGGAAAAGTTGCACCATAAAATAAAGTCAAAAACACTTGAGTCCTAGATTGTAATCCAGTTTAAGTTGTAGGTCAAGTATTGAACGCTCTTTTTCCTCGATTTCAAACGCTTCCGAAGCAGGCGATGAATGTTCCCTTTCTGCATCTTCAATCGAATCCACGCAATCAGATGGTTCGAATAAATTTAGGGAGATTTTTAATCTATAAAACGAAAAATCCAAATAATTCTTTGATTGGTTTCTTCAATATAAATAGCCTTCGAAACAAAATGATTGACCTATAATTAGTTATTGAAGAATGCTTGCCTGATATTTTTGTAATAGAGGAAACAAAACTAAGTTCAGATTTAAAAACTGAAATCTTTCTAATAAATAATTACCAAAAACCAATCCGGCGTGGTAGGAATGAATTTGGTGGGAGTTTGATGCAATTTGTTAGAAAGGAGTTGTTTGCAATAGAGTTCCAGTTTTTGAGAGCCTAACTAACGAGATAATTTGTTCACATCTGTTGGTTTGCAAAAAGAAGTGGATAATTTTTAGCATTTACCGACCCCCAGAACCTTCAAACCTGGAACTATTTTCAGAGAGCTGTCTTTTTCATCAAACTCAGCTTTGGACCAATATAAAAATGTTATCATTATGGGCGATATAAATATCAATACTCATGATACTCAACATCCTGGGTACACTAGACTAATCTCCTTCTGTCATGGGCTTGGACGGTCTAATTAAATATAGGACAAGACATGATACATGAAAAATCATAGTTCATCAATTGATGTCATATTGACAAATAGACCCAGATGTTTTCAAAACACCAGCGTTTTTGAAACTAGCTTTAGCGATTTGTATTGCATTGTCCTAACTTCAATTAAAACACACATACCCCGTCTCAAACCTAAAATCATCAGATACCGATGGTATAAGAAACTTAAACCTGAAAGGTTTCTCCAAGATGTAAAGGACAGTGACTTTCAAGCCGATTTAAATTATACTGATTTGGCATATATAAATCTATCGTCCACCTTTCGAAAAATTGTAGATAAACATGCTCCTTTAAGAACAAAAGTTCTGAGGGGAAATACTGCCCTTTTCATGAATCAGCAATTGCCGAAGGCAATTTATACTAAATCAAGGCTTAAAAAAAGATTTTATAAAAATCATTATATAAATATAGTAGAAAAATCCAGCGGTAAGAAGCCCATTAGCCTTGCAAAAATACTGGAATTTCTGACGACCGCCAAATCGTTCGCTTGATTCTTGATCAATATAAAAACCATCCTAGTGTCCTAGCTATTATTCAAAGCCAGGCTAATTTCACTTTTCAAGAGATAGGCAGTCATGAAGTTGCAAAACTATTAAAATGCCTGGATGGCTAGAAATCTCCTGGTGAAGATCAAATTCCCCCGAAGCTTATATCCTTGGCTGCAAATGAACTTACAAATACTTTAACTACTTCAATAAACTGTAGCATTCGAAATTTTCGTTTCCCAAACGATGCAAAGAAAGCGGCAGTTTGCCCACTAGATAGAGGGGAATCAAATTGTACATTAGAAAGAAATTTCCGCCTAGTTAGTGTTCTCAATACCTTTTCAAAGATATATGAAAAAGTCTTTAAAAATCAATTGGTTCAACATTTAGATTACACGCTTTTAGTCTTCATTACTGCCTATCGACAAACGTATGCAACCCAACATGTTTTGATACGTTTGATAGAAGACTGGAAGGCTAGCCGTGACAATGACTACCTCGTTGGTGCAGTCTTAATGGGTCTTTCGAAAGCTTTCGTTTGTATCTCACATGATTTGCTTATTGCCAAACTGCATGCGTATGGATTTCATGAAAATGTTCTACTTCTAATTTATTCTTATCTGAAAAGACAAAATCAGTGTGTTCGGATAAACAATTCATACAGCTCTTTTCAAAAGGTTATGTCTGGTGTACCCCAGGGCTCTGTGCTAGGACCAGTTCTGTTTCATTTTTACATAAATTACTTATTTCTATTCACAAAACAAGCAACGCTCCATAATTATGCAGACGACAATACACTTTGTTATTTTTCTAAAAACCATGCGTGATCTTGTAAATACCTTGCAAAATGAAATGGGAATCGGCATATCATGGTTAGCACGAAATGTAATGATTGCAAACCCTGAAAAATTTCATGCTATAATTCTTGCTATGAACTCAGAAAAACTAGAGAAATACTAGTGGAGAACAAATGATCATTAATGGTAAAAAATTCAATCTGAGGAGACAGTGGAGCTTTTAGGAGTAACGTTGGATTAAAAACTTGATTTCCATTCACATATTTCGAATCTTTGCAAAAAAGCTGCAACACAATTGATTGTTCTTAAAAGATTAAAGACGTTTATTGGTTTCCAGGAGAAAAAGGTTCTTGTCCAGAGCTTTGTATATTCCAATTTCAGTTATTGTCCCTTGGTCTGGTATTTTTCATCGTCTAAATCATTACAGAAAATTGAACAGATACAAGAACGTGCCCTAAGATTTCTCTCTAATGATCATACAAGTTCGTATAACGATCTGCTTGTGATGGCAGACAAATGCACGATGCTCGTCGCTCGTCGAAGAATTCTATGTATTGAAATATTCAAAGCAGTAAAACAGCTAAACCCACCTTTTATGCAGAGTATTTTTAAATTACGTTCGTCAAATTATTGATTAAGAAATCCGAATAATTTAGCTCATGCTAGACCTAAGCAAACAACATTTGGATCCAAAAGTCTTATGTCAATCGAGCCACAGATTTGGAATGGCCTACCCGACGAGTTGAAATCCGTAGAAAATTTTAAGAGTTTTAAGAATCTAAGAAAACAATGGGACGGACCGAATTGCAAATGCAGTGCTTGTCAGTTTCTGCCTGAAAATGCAATGTAATCTTTAATTTTGTATCCATAATTTCTTTTTTTGTACTAACTGTTAGCTATATTCGATTTTGATTAGTTAACTTTGTATATTTATGTATTTATTGTTAGCTATTGTTTCTTGCGTCGAATTGAAATAAATTTTCAACCCTGGGAATATTATTTGAAGTTGTTTGAAGCTGATAAAAATATAAAAAAATTGGCGATATGAACATTTTTAAATGCACTTACTTTTTCATTTTATTTTTCATGGAACTTTATTTATTACTTTGTATTTAGCTTACAGACAGCGTATTAGCTTACACGTATTTTGCAAAAAACATTTTCTTTGACGTTAGAAAAGGTATACTGACTCATGTATACCTTTTGTGATCCTCAAACAATTTTAGGTTCTGCTGAAGTTGCTCGAAATTTTTTCCACGCTTAATGTCTTTTTGGACAGCTAGAATCCACATGATTTTTGCATTTTCGATATCATCAGTTTTTAGATCACCTTCTGGCCTTGCAGACGTAATATTAATTCGAAATTTTTATATCTGTATAAAATGCAAGACATACGCAGTAACATGATGAATCTTGTTTACATCGCTGAACCTTTCCAAATGTACGAGTTCACAAATATTTGATCCCCCTGAATGAATCAAATTGACAGTTACAGGGTTTTTTTTTCAAATCCACAAAGTCAAAGTAATCATCAATGTTTTCCTCAAAACTTTCTTTCTCCGGCTAAAAATTGCGCACTCGGCACAAGAAGTCAGGATCGTGCCACCACAAATTGTTTTTTGTTAATTTTGAAACCTTCATAATATTATAATATGATATAATGAGGGATAAGGAGGCCATTGGCTTATTAAACCCTTTAGCGTTGGTTTTAAGCGTATTCATAGTTGTACTTCTCGTTCCGCAAAAATCCTCAAACTCTATATTTGACTTCGCATTGGCTATGTTTGCTGGAAAATTGTTGCCTTCGTTTATTACTCTGTTTGAGAAATAGCTCTTCCTTTTGCTCGACGATAAAGCAAACTTGAAAAGCTTGAGATTGTGTCCTCTCGTAACTGAAGTACTTCGTTCAAAAAATACTTTACTATCAGTATCGACCATGCCGTGTAGTATTTTGAAAGTTGTAATCATATCTCCACGTCTTCTTTTATTGCATAATGTTGGGAGATCGAGGAAAAGTAAGCGTTCCGTGTACGGTTTGAATTTGTTTTACTTTACATGGATTCCAAACAGGCACACAATATTCAAAGATTGGCCTAACTAGGCTTTTGTAAAGAGCATTGAAGGTCTCTCTCTTGGCGAATTTCATGGCTCTTTTAATGGACGCTAAAACACCGCAAGTTTTTTTTGCATTTTCTGCGATGTGTGTGTCAAATTTGAATTTGTTGTCAGCTATAATTCCAAGTTCTCGAATTGATTCAACTGATTTAATGATCGTATTTGTTTGTGTTAAATCATCTGGTATATAATATCTTTATTTCGTTGATTGGAGCTACCCAGGCGAAGTACACTGCACTTATCACTGTTAAACGGAAGCTGCCATGTTTTTGACCAATTTTTGTGTGATTCAATATCATTTTGAATATGTTGCGCTTGGTAGTTAGAAGGAGAATACATTTTCGTATCATCAGCAAAGATCTTGACTTGACAGTAGTTTATGTTATCAGGTAAATTGTTTATATACAGCAAGATTTGAAGCCATTTAATACAACTCTCTGTTTCCTTCCAGTTAAAAAACTCTTGATCCAGTTGTATATGTATCCTTCAATACCATACGACTTGATTTTGGTAAGAAATATTCATTTCTCGAGAAAGAATATCTGCGGGATTCAATTAAGTGGGATAATAATGCCACTGCGCTCGGTTTTAGGCAAAGGCTTCTAAAACCTTTCCTTCACTTGCCATCCATCAAAGTGTAATTTTAGAATCGAACCAGCGATGAAAAGTCTAAATTTTAGTGACTGGTTGCAGCGCTTCTTCTACTCTTTCATCAAACAAGCAAGAATTAATGCAGCTATCAGTTCTAAAGGAGGGTTTGTCTCCTATTGGCGCGATACGTGTTTTAGCCCATCATAACTATGACGTTATTTCACCTGATCATAGATGGCAGACAACATAAACACAAGCACCGTAACCTCTTTGTTGATGCGTTACAAAAACCGTGAAAATCAATGAAATTGATATCTGATATTGAAATGTCCTTTCTTAGGTAATATCTGTTAACAGTTAGGCACCCTGTTTCTTTCATGTCGTTTGTAATAGCCTTATAGTTTTTCAAGATAGAGACATCATTCAGCGAGTCCCAATTATTATTTTCTTTGCACAGCGCTTGAAAAAGCAATTTCAAAGGATAAAATTGCTAGACTAATAAGTCTGAGTGGGTCAAATATTTTAGCCTTTGTGGCAAGAATATTACCCGTGTTTCGTAATATATTCCTTCGCAGTGGAACCCAATAAACTATTGAACTCGTATATTAACGTGTCCGATTTCGAATTCCAAATGATACCCAAAACTTTAATCTCTTCGGTTTTACCGAATCACATTGCCTCGTAGAATTTTCCTATTCTGTTTCGACAAGGTCTTTATTTCTAGCCTCATTTTCGATTTTGTCAATTTTGTTCAAAACTTGTTCTAAGTTTGAGTTCCATTTTTGCATGGTAAAACCCTCTTGTCGAAAACGCTCCTTTAATTTTTGGTACAACGCTATCGCATTTTCTTTGTTTTATGTACCCACTACAAAATCGTCATAATAGAGAGAGTTTTTCACAGTGTCGATAAACAGTTTATCGTCCTCGTACTTTGCAATATGGTGTCTTACGACAGCATTTGAACAGAATGGTGAGCTTAAAGCTCCGAGACAACGCGAGCAAACCTATAAATAACAACGTTTTAGCTTTAATACCTATTGATTCATTATTCCAGAAATTCTTCATTTTATTCTCAATCTCAGAGTCATTTTTGTCAACGATTAATGTATCAACTCTCATAACATAAGAATCATTGTCACTTACCAGACCAGATGGACCAGACAACACCCATCCTAGTTTCGTTTGAAGCGTGACCGGTTCATCTGCCTCTCTGTATACAACTTCACCGCTTACAAATCTCCAAAATTCATCCCAGCCTACCAACACTTGCATGGGTTTATCCGGGTTTTCTGCGTCATTGTGATCGATATCGGCCAAATGTAGACCTCCTAATTATGGGTACCTCTGTACGACTTCTGGAATTCGCTGGATGCTTATGGCAGTGCAGAAAAACGATACAACATAGGCTGAAATCACCATTTCCGTTCCATCCTTGCACTTCACGCTGATCTTGACAATTTCGCACTCCCTAACCTTCGGTGTGGAATCTCCAAAAGTTTTTATTTAAAGTCTATCCTTTCCAATAACGGGTAACTGTAACAAACGCTTTAATTCTTTAGTTATGTAGCTCTTCTGGCTCCCCAAGTCAAATACGAACCGAACACTTTTTTCCGCTTCGTCGCTTCGCAATCCAGGCACCTTAACCTTTGCATTCGCCGTCTGCAACAATATAGTGTTCCTTGTGCTTACGTTCATGTTTGTGGTCACCCATCTAACATGTTCTAATATGGATAATTCAAGTTTTCCAAATATTAGAACTTTTTTCATCCACGGCACAATATGGCTGAATCTGGTCGTGCAGTTCGTTATGAAAAGATTTCGGATCTTCAGCGTAGTATTTTGCTGAAGTTTTATCGGCAAGGTATGACGAATACTGCGAAGGGAATGGATGGATTGATCGAGGAAGCTGCTAAGGAAACTGAGCTTGAAGTTGACAAAGTTAAAGTGAGTAAATGTTTAGCACATCACACATTGAAGGGTCTAAACGTGTTTGAAAATTCTCAACTCTAACATAAAAAGGGATTAATTCTATGGTTTTCAGACTTCAGTAAATGTTACCAATATTTGAAGAAAGGGAGCACTGTAATGCATTATCAAATAAAGTCAAACAAATAAATTCAGAAAATATTTTGACCTGTGCTTTGACCTATGACCTGAGAAAGCTTTATGACCAGTCTGAAAAATGGACGACGGCCTATGAGGGGTCATCGACGCGAGCGATTTTTGTCGCCGTCGAAGGGGAAGGGGGAACAAGCTCCTTGCCATGCCCATTTCTCATTAGGGATGTTTAGATTCAAGAAAGTCTTTTAAGCAGACGGCACATGTTTTCTGAAAAAATTAGATAAGGTTCACCAAACAAAATTGCGGCGGGTATTCATCGAAACTTAATTCTTTGATAGTCAAATAATAGCTGTAAAATATTCCTCATTTAGAAAAATCCTAAAGCCCATTGTCAATTAGAATCAGCAAGATTAGTTGATTCATCACTTTTCTGAAAGATTAGTTGATTTGTTATTTTTCATTCCCAAAACAACCATTTCATAGGAAAAATAATAAAGTGAGTAAGTATAAGGTAATACCTTTATAGGTAACAACTTGGAAGAAAGTAATGCCATGGTGTCACAAAACTTGAAAAGTGAAACTTGACTTTCCAATAGAAAAATGGATGCCATTTTCATAAACTGTAGATTGAAGGCAATGGGCTTTTTGCTACTGGCAGGCCACAATCCCAGTTTGAGTAGCTGTGCAGCTTCTGTTCCACACCCACAATAACGGGTTTTCTTAGAATGCTGTCTTCCTGCTAAAGAAAGGAAAGACCTGCCAAGTTGAATAAACACTCAACTAAAGATGGAAAATATTTTGGACTTGTTATCCAACCAAAAATAAGAAAACCAAAACAAGCAAAATGATATTGTCTTATATGTGCTTTAAAATTTATCTAAAGGTATCCTTAGAATTAAACCCTGGTACTCAAAAAGTACAAAAAGTCCTACTTTTGATAATATGAATTGTTGCTTTACCAGGCTTTACCGGCAACAAAAGTCTATTGTGCACAAAACTCCAAAGCACAACTTGACATTACAGCCTTGGAATTATCTCAACTTCAACAACCTTTATAAATCAGTTCCAAAGTTTTATTTATAGATAGAATTTATTAATACCATTTCATATCAGGTTTTTTGTCATCTCATTTTTCTTAGAGCCAGGCCTGCTTTACAATACTTTTGATACCTTAGTGTACTGATCAATGATCAAATGACATTGGTTTGCAACTGAACTGATGCTGGTAGTAATTGTAATTTTGATGTAGCAAATTCAGGAGTGTCTTGAAAAAATAGCAACCTTTGTGTGAGTGCACAGCAAAGCCCAAAAAATTCTGACTTTCCCATGAAATGCAAAAACCTTTGTAGGTCTGAACTAGCTATTAGTTTAGCTTCCCATTTATTATAGAAAGATAGAAAGATCTTATCTTCTCTCTAATCAAGAACAGTGAGTGGCAAGAAATTTTTAAAAGTAGGACCAGGTGAGCACAGAGAAATGGATGCTACAAAGGTTCTTATGCAAACAATTGAGGGTTACTCTTAAAAATAACTACCCTTTGAGGATAATCTTTGGAAGTTAAAAATGTTTTTATTTTACCTCTAGATTTAATTAGAACTGCCTTTATTTTATTTAGCTTTAATCTATTAAGATAAAACTTTAATGTTTAAAATGTCTTTTTATGACACCAGGTGTGAGTACAATTAATTTTACCCCCTTCCACAATGTCAGGAAAGTAGCTTATTACATTTCTCGCTCTCCCCTTTCCTGTTGATGTGATACGAGAACGACCCCTTAAAAGAACAACCAACTATCACAGAAGTTCGTAAAACAACCTACTTTTGCGACGTTACGTGAAAAATGGAGGGACCAGATTTCTTTAACGATTGTTACAAAGGCGCCTCCAGTAAATTTTTCCCGCCAGAACATATGCAACTGACGTGACATTCGTCGAATAATTAGTTGTGTTGAAGCCGACATAGTGCAAATATAAAATGTTATTATGGAATTATTTGCGATTATATATGTAAGTATTGTATTTCCAAACTGAATTTTGTTGGGTTCAATTTTAAAGTTTATATTATTGATTTAAAACTCGTAAATGCATCCGATAACACTTCTTCAAGTTTCGTTAAGCTGAACATCAAAGTAGGCTGGGAAATGACTTTTTTATAAAGTGAACCCTTTCTGGCATATTTCCTAAGTAAATATTTTGCAGTGATAGCTAAATAAAATTTTTAGATGGCGTTTTAAGATCATTTTAGATTGAATGATTGTTATAAATAGACAGAGGTATGTTTAAAATATCATGTTAATGTTTTAATGGCCATAACTTTTCTTAAAAACAAGATCGCGAAAAAGCCAACACTGGAAATGTGCCCACAAGCCTCCTCGACACTTTTGCAAAATTAAAGAAAATTTCCCCAAGAATTCTAGCATCAGGACTTTTTTGAAGAAGGGGTGGTCAAAATTCTGAAATTTGTCATTTCTCGCAATTTGATTGGTTCAAATCGATGGGGGTTCCCGCTTTGGCGATTCCTTTCGCAGCCAATCAAGATTTGACGCCTATGCTACCCTGTTAGGCCATAATGGGAGTACCGCCCCTCCTCCAGGTCTGAAGATCACATAATAGGTTATATAATACTTTGCCGCCATAGTGTAAAATACTTCTTAAAAAGAATGGCATTACAAAACTGATGTTTCAACAGTGGCACACCTTGACCTTCAAAACTCGGGGGTGAAGGGCAAGGCAATCAAAATTTGCTGTGAAAGACATTGCTTTAGAGAATATTAATTCAGGCCTGGCCGTTTGTATTTTTATAGGTGAGCTGTGAATTGCTCCCCTCATTTGCTGAGGCGAGCTAAATCAGTAACACATGGAATGTACAATGCCTGCCAAAAGTCTTGGAACACTGACATCAATTTCCAAGGTCAAAACCAATCATCCCCCTCTCCCCCACGGAACAATGTTGGTTTACTATCAAACGGATTAGGATTTAGGAAGCACTTTCTTTTGCGCTTCTTTTATGATATTTCTCTAAATCATCAACATTGTTTGAGGGGGAAGGGGGCGGAAGTAGCAAATTTTTTTCATGAAAGGAATGAAAGATATCAAATGCAGCGTAAATTGGTGGGTGTTCCAAGTACTTTTGGCAGGCATTGTACTTTAAAGGCAATCGACAGATGACTTAATAAGCCCCTTTAGTATCTGTCGGTTGCCTTAATGTAATTGCCTCAGTCAGGAGTGTGCTGTTTTACTTCTTTCAATTTGTATTTGCTTTAACCGTGACTTAGGCACCCCCTTTACTTGAAGTATTTAAAAGAACAGACTCTTTCAGTTTCATGTAAAGCTGGCACAACACAAAAACAACAATTCTCTTGCAAAACAATCTTTTTGTTGTACAGAATTTGAAAATGGCTTTGAAAACAATTTTTAAAACAAGCTGAAGTTATACGTCTAGCACTCTTCAGAGAATAAAACGTCAGAACAAAGATGAAAAACTTTGAGCAAAAATACCCAGTTTTGGATCGAAATAGGCCAATCAGAAAGCGCGAGCACATGACTGTTGAGGTTGTCCAATCAGTGCCGCTTTCCTATTGAAAATGTTACCAAAGGTGAAAACGAACTCACTTATGTCTACACAAAAGCGGTTGGTCATGTTTATATAGTAGATAGATTCACAAACTGCTAGATGGAACGATGATCAGGCTTTGCCAATGATGCCAAACATGTTGCCGTTATAGTTTTCACCCAATCTGGGTTTTTCAGTAAATGCCGCTGGATAGTGGAATTCCATGTTTTGGTTGTCGTTTTTGAGTCTGCAAGGCAGAGTACCTTGTTCTCTTTGAGGGATAGTTTTGTTTCTATTGCTGGAAGGGACCTGCTGTCTTATTATATCCCCAATCTACAATTCCTACCAATTTCTTCGACTTTCCTTCCAAAAATATTCCTGTTTTCTTAAGATTGAAAGGTTCTAATCGCTACAAACGTACCTTTCGGTTAACTATCTTTTCCCAAATAGATCGAAGTTTATGCCTATCATAACAAAAACCGCCCAACAAGCAAAAAGTTAATTGCAAAAAATGCAATGACGGGAGAAATCGCTGTTACAAAAATAAACCAATTAACCCTTGTGCGTTTTCATAATTCTCTGAATAGGAAATTTTAGGGGAGCGATTCTTCCTTCATGTTCTGTTTAGGAGAGCAATTCATAGCTCGCCTCAGGTTGCGAGGGGAGCGTGGAGGCGAGCGCGAGCTATCGCTCGCCTCAAACGGCCAGGCCTGTTAATTGCCATTTCATCTACCATCTGATGATTTTACTTACCAATAAACGAAAGTTAAAATCATCCCCAAGGTTAGCCAAGCCCCAGTTTTTCACAAAATACTATTAAATAGATTGACATAATACAAATAATAACAAAGCTTTTTTATAATTTGAATCAATATCAAACCTTGATAATCAATTACAATGCAATGCTTCCGATAAAATGTGCAGGTGCTCTCATTGAAACATCTGCCTCTAAGCTCAGCATCACTGAAAAGCATTGGTTTAAATTGTCCACCCTGTAAAAATAATTTTAATATTGGCACTTCATTAATTTAAAAAGCTGTCCTAGAAAACAATGCAAACATGCATGTGTATTTGTGCCATGTCACAAATAATATATATACAGTTTGCCATTTGGTTTTGAAACTATTACAGCAGGCACATTTTGCCAACAATGCAAAGAACAGAAACAATTTCCTAAAGTAGAGTCACATGCCTGCATCACTTTATTGGATAGTTAAAGTGATGAAGAATAAAAAGCTGGACACCTAGATGACAAAATCCCCAAAATAGACTGAGCAATTTTGCATGATACGGCATCTCAGAATCTAAATATGACTTTACAGGCACCATAGAGCAGGGGGAGGGGAAGGCTTTATAAATTCTTATAGATACAGTCAGGGGTGTGATGCTAGGGGGTCTCATGGGGCTGATCCTCCTTTGCTAATGCCGAAAATAGGCAAATTTCTATTTTTGCTATTGTTTTAGCAACATTTTGAGTAAGATCCCCCCTTGTTATTTTGATACCACTACACCAATGGATACAGAAAGTCATCAAATAAGCCCCCGGGGGCATTCTAATCTCCTGCCAGGAATCTGTCCCTAATGAATGTCCTGGAATTATTTACCATTATAGCAATTCAGTTCTTATACCCTCACTAATTAACACAGCAACTGGCCAACATTAAGAATACAGATACTAGAAAAATCACTTTATATAGTATTATAGCCTAAAAAAAGTATTATAGCCTATAAATTTCTATAGACTATTTGTTATTAAATTTATTTGCATAAGGCGTGTTACAATAACAGTTTAAAATTACCTGCCACTCTTCAAGCATGCGGTAATTATTTCTTCTGGTAAGCAAGTGAAATGCACAATTTCTACAGAAAAACTGATGAGGGCCACATTCTAAACAGCAATGGGACGCTATTTTGTCGATGTTCTGTTCCATACATGTGACACACAATTGCTGCTCGGGCGTAGAGTCCTCAGAAACACCAGTCCTGTACAAATCCAATCGAATTTTGTCCCATTCATTTGCTTCTTTCACCTTTCTTTTGCCATGCTCGGACAAAAAGTTATCAGGTTGCTGGTATGCTCGCTGGTCCTGTTGATATTCCACTTCAGCTTGATTTAGACACTGATTAGCACCCTCCTCTGTAAAATCACAAGGAACGTCTTTTTCTAATACTCTGCGACGTTTCACAGACAAATTTAAAGCTTTTACAGTATGTTTACCACTAAGAGATGGCCGTTTAACAACAAGTTTTGCAGCTCTTATTTTCGGCATGTCTCTCTCCGAGGATCGGATTCTGCGCCCTTCCTGCTCTTCATTCATGTACTCTATGTAAGATTTAGAACCAATGGCACTTCCAATAATTCTAAACGATAGGATGGTATGGATGATCATACGGGATTGGATAATCCAAAGTTCTAATATTTAGAAAACTTGGATTATCCATTTTAGAACATGTTAGATGGGTGTTGTGGTGGTTTTAATCACGTTCGGCTCCTTAATTTCCTCCTTTGTATCATTCCTTTGGTCAACTCTTGTTGTGATTGCTTGTTTCTTTGAATGATGTCTTCCTTTGCATCGTAGGGATCTCATATTGGTTCGGCAAAAGCGTGCGGGATGACCTCCACGTAAACAAATGAAACAGCACCTTTTCTCCATCAAGATTTTCTTACGCACAGCAAACAAGGGCACATTTGTTCTAGACCAATCAGCAGGTTTGTTTACAAAATGTCATTAGCTAATCACCTGCCTCCATTTCGAGCTTGATTTTTCAGTGTTTCAAACCAAAACACAGTTGCTGTGGAGCAAAACCTACTTTTGATTGGGAAAAAAATTTACCTTTTTCTACAAAGGAGATTTTTCAAAATTACTTTCTAGAGAAATTTTTTGGTACGAAACTAGGAGCCAGGAACACAAATGGTTGCTAAAATATCTGCAGTGAAACATCACCTATTTCCTACCTCGGCCCTACCGCCAAAAATTCCCACCCCCTAATTTACTTCCTATGAAGATTCCGTTATATAAACAGGCAAATATTTTAAGATTTAATTTAACAGGTGTTTTGCGCAAATAAATCACCCAGCCATTACCTGGGAAAATTGTATTTTTTATAAAAACTTGGTTTTAAAACTGCCTATTCCCTCCTCTACATTACTGCACGGGATGCCTAGGCCCTTTCTGAACCTCCTTCCTGAGCATCACAGTCAATGAAATTCAGACCACTTTTGTGAAGCCATCAGTCTATAGTTTGAAACCAAAAAAGACCAAAATATTGGCAGTAGTTAAAATTTAATATCTAAGAATAATTCACTTTTTAAAATGTATAAAAGACCCACTTTTTGGACAGTCTTGGAGCCTTTAAACCTTGATGAGACTTGCTAAAAGGTTTTCTGAACAAGGCATGATGAATTTTGAAATATTTTTGCAAAATCCCATTTAGTTGTTGGAAAACCAATATGATCATATTGGCCTTGATTTTTGTTGCAAGTGTATATTCTAAATCCACTCCCCTCACGAATGTATCCGGAAAGTTTCGGATTCACAATCTCGAATTTCGAAAGATCGAATTTTTGAAATCTACCATGTTCCTCTGATTGCTCCCATTGTATTTGCAACTCCCATGTGCATCACTTTCTCTTGTGTATGTCTAATCAGTTTCTCTACGAATAAACTTTCCTCAAGGTTCATTTGATTGTATCCTTGAACTCTTCCTTGACAATATAATATTCCCGTTTGATCCTCTCTGAATAATTTCCAGCCAGGTGTTTCTTTCATTTCTATGATACTTCTCTGGGCTCTTTTCAACCATAAATCCCTTGCTCTTGTTTTTTTTCAGTTGTTGATGGTCCCTCTGTTAACTTCTCCTTTCTCAATTTTGCTGAGCAATTCTTGATGCATCTCAAACACCAAGTTGTGGTCCTCAAAGCTGTCCAATATCGTTTATGCTCTAACAGTTTGTCCCATTCACCATTTTCTGTTTCTTTGGTGTATAGAATTATTTCCTTAATTGGTCTTTCTTCCTCCAAAGTTTTTGAACCACTTTTTAATTCTGGCTGTACCGGCCATCCCTTTTCATTCACTAGCCAGTCTGGTCCTTCAAACCGTTTTCCACTCACCATTTTATCAATATTTGCTCCCCTACTTCCTAAGTCAGCAAGATTTTCAGCTGAAGGGCAAAATTTCCACTTTATGTTTATTTCTTGCTCTATTTCAACAATTTTCTTCACTCTGTTTGCAACAAATGTTTTCAAGGGTTTTCTGGGGTTGCTTATCCAAAACAAAGCAACCATGCTATCCATCCAAATTGTAACTGATGAAATAGGCAGCTTTCCCAAAGCTTTGCAAACATTCCTGGCCATGTTTGCTGCCATTTGACCTCCAACTAGTTCAAGCCTTGGCACTGGAGTATTTCTCTTTATATCCTTGATTTTGAAACAAGTAAACCCTTCACTGTATCACTTCCTTGTTCTTTTATTGCTATTTTTACTGATGAGCACGCTTTGTCACTTGCGTCTGCAAAGATGTGTAGCTGTACAGCTTTGACTTTCTTTCCCTCCTTTAATAAACATCTTGGCATCTTAATTTCTCTCAGTTGTCTCAACCACTTCAGATAATCTTTCACAAGAGGCTTTGAAACCTCTTTGTTCCAACCTCTTCCTTCATCGCAGGCTCTCTGAATATTTGCTTTCCTTCTACTACAGTAGGTGAAATGATACCGAGTTGGTCATATACCCTTGCTAACTGACTTAATATGGCGTTCTTAGTAATTGGGCCATCACCCACATCTTTATTAATGGGAGTTGTAAGAGTCTTCTTTCTTGTCCCATATGCGACCCAAAATTCTTGTTGGGTTGATCATATCTTCACTTTCTAAGCTTTCAGCATTGGACTCCCATTTATGAATTGGAAACTTTTAATCATCTAGTACAAAGGTAGCTTGTGTCTTGAATGTTTCTAGTTCCTCAAACTCTGCTACAGTACACATCAGATTGTCAACATAAGTATTTGATCTAAGCTGTTCTAGTGTATTCCCAAACTCTAGCTTCTCAAATTGCTCATAGTGGTGTTGGAGTGTCCCCCCCGAGCATGAAAGATCTTGTTTCCCCTTGGTCAGTTAGATAAAACTGTTTGTCCTTTGTATGCTTATACTTCGTTTTCAATTTTCTCAAATCGGGTCTCAGTACAGTTGTTAAATTCTGCATTACTAGTCCTGTAACTTCAAGGTTTTGTCTGGCTTTGCTATCCAATGACTCTATCTCCACATTAAAAATTGGCATAGATTTTCTTCTTTTCCCATTTACAGTGGTTATTTCTTTATTCTCAAACCTTTCTGGTTTTAATTTCAACTCTTTCATTGCTTCTCTAGAAATGAAATCTCTCCCTGCAGGACTGTCTAAAAATGCCCAGAAAATCTTTCCTTGAATTTTGACTAGCAATATTGGTGGAAGGGATTCTTCCTTATTGGGTGTGTAGCCTACAAGTACTGACCCTTTCATATCTTAAAGCTTTTCACAGAAACGATTATGGTGTTTTCTTTTGCAAAAATAACACCCTTGGCTATGATGTTGTCTTCTCTATGCCCCACTTTGGCACAATTGAAACATAATCTTTTGTCCCTGAAAATTGTTCTCCTCTTTTCTAGGTTATCAATTGTAGTACACTTATCACTCCAGTGATCTTTCTCACAATAGACACACTTTATTACTCTTTTTTCTTTTTCTCCTGCACTCCTGCATTCCAGTGTCTTTCCTTTCTTTCAACTGGTTTCTATTTCATTAAATTTTATTTCTTTTCAATCATTTTTGCAAATTCTCAATTAGATTCTCCATATCCCAGCTTTCCCAATTCTCATCCATTCTCACAAAATCTGGTTTTACCTGAGGTAAATTGTTTAGTGTTATCATCATAAATCCTTTCAGCATAGCCTTCTCACCAAGTGTCAACAAAGCATCATAACTTCTGGTTAATTTGTGACAAAATTCTTCAATTTTCTCATAGTTAGTTCCCCTAATTGCTGCTAAACTGAGTATTTCATCAACATGTGTATTTATCATTGAATTTATTTGACCATATTCTTTGATCAATGTTTCCCAGGTAGTCTCAAGGCCGATTTTTCCTGGTTGGAGGTTTCCAATCTTTCCTCTAACTTTTTGATTCACCATTTTAAGCAAATACCCAAACTTAATTTCCTCACTAAAACCTTTACTTAAAACCTGAGTTGTAAACATGTTACTGAATCTCACCCAGTCTCCCAAAGTTCCATTGAATGGGATTACTTTCAGTTATGGCAACTTGGAGCAACTTGCTTTGGTTTTGAGCTCTATTTCTAGCATTTTCTCAGCTAATCTCAATTCTGCCTTCATTCTCTCTTCCATGATAATTCTCTCCTGCTCAAATCTTTCTTGCCGTAATTTTTCCTCCAATTCTGTCAACTTTTTTTGCCTTCCTATACTTCTTTCCTCCTCCCTGACCTGTTCTCTCTCTTTCTTTTCATTTTCTTTCCTTATAATTTCTGCCTCAATATCTGCTTATCTTGCCTTTAATATTTCAACTAATATTTAATTTTCTGCTAGCATTTGACTTTACCTTTCTCTGGTCTCTCTTCTCCATTTTCTGACGTCTCTTGGCGTGAGCCGCTGCTCTATTTTCTCCTCCTCTGCCTTACTGACTACCTCTCATAATTTGTCTACAATTACTTCCACCCGACATGGCACTTACTTCATTTCTTTCAGATCTCTACACACAATTAACTCATCTACCTGTTCAGCAAAATAATTCAATTTTGCAATCTCCTTTTCGATCTCACTTTCAAACTCATATCTCACTTCTCCTGTGATTTCTTGTTGGCTTCTGGTAGCCATTATATTCTCTGTTTTCTTACGAATAAATTTTCTTTCCTGGTTATTACTGTCCTGGCAGGGTCGCCAATGTTTTCAGAATCTGACTGCAATTTTCTCATTCACAAAATCTCACGTCCGTCATTTTCGTTTTTTGCATGCGGCAAGTGTGGTTCGATACTCGAACCCAGTCCCCTAAGACTCGCTAATCGAGCCCAGGCTCTTAATTTTTGATCCAACAACGATGGGTATCTGGTGCAGCGAAAATTCTCGGCGCCGAAAGTACATCACCTGGAAAGTATAAAAGCTGTTAAAATCGGCAAGCTATTAGCATAGATTTTGTAGCTTCAGTTACTAAAAATATTTAGCTTGCGGATACAGGATTGTTACAAGATGATTTCTGTGCAATGAAAGGATACGTCACACTGGCTTTGACAACAACTATTGACTATTGTTTTGCCATTAAAGTTAATGCGTAATATTTACAAGTTAAGTGCAAGGAATACAATTTAAATACTTATTTAGATATTCTTATAATGTTGTTTGGAGAAACTCTATTTGTTAACTTTCAGCGCTAATTCTACTAGTTTTGTTAAATCTCTGCACTCTCACCGTTATCATTCCTTGCTCTAAATGATACATATTTGACAAAATCATTTCCTTGAAGCATTGTAAGGACTTTACTGTAATCAGCCAGCTTCACTTTGCCCGTATTTCTTGCGTTTGGTTCACTTTGCCCGTTTTATCGATCTGTTGCAGTCCTTGATGGAGCGCAATAACGAAGATTTTGTTCGAATGTATCCTTCCTTTCTCTTTCTCGCATTTCTGTGTTGCTTCGAGAAGGACATCTACGTTAATGCGTGAAATTTATAATACCATGAGGGTTAAGAAGTCACAAACAACAGCCTATCATCCGCAGGGTGATGGGTTGGTTGAAAAGCAAAATCGCACCCTGCAGAAAATACTTGGTAATTTTGTGTCAGACCATAGTGGTGACTGGGATCAATGGGCAGACCTGTTTGAGGAAAACCATTTACGACCAGCAGAGGACCCCATCCTGTACTTGTGGAGGCTTGAAGATGCCCTCCACCACGCTGAACCCTATTTATCCGAAGATGCCTTTCATTTCCTTTTGCGACAACAATTCTTCAAAAGACTCCCAAATGTTGTCCAGCTGAAGCTCTTGGAGTCCCATTCTACCCCAGGACTGGACGAAATGTTGGCGTTTTCGAAACGGTTTCGATCGCTTCAAATTTTCCCCTCTGGCAAAGCTGCATGTGCTACTACCACTACCATCGTGCCTCCGCAGTTTCCTTGCGATGAGCTACAATAAAATTCACGAGATGACCTGCACATGTTGTTGACTCAAGTTGTGGAAAGCCAGAACCAACTGATAGCAGCTATTGGTGAGTCAAGGAGCAGCAGTCAGACAGAAATTCGTTGTTTCCAGTGCTATGAAGTGGGCCACATGAGACGGCACTGTCCACGCCAAAGGTGGCCCTTTCCAGCACGGGCAGTGACAATGCTCACTTTGTCCCGGATGGGAACACAATGAAAGTATATGTGCAAAGGTAACGGGCCTAGGCCCTCCTCATTTCCACACATTATAAAAATGGTAGTAAGGCGTCTCTAAACTTCCAGTGGGTGCCTCGTTAAGGGGCTGGGACGACGAGCACCCGTCTCATTTTGCAGTTGGTTGTGCGTCGGACTTTAGTTGGAGACCCCTAGCTCCCCGCCTTTCCCTGCTATTTTGCGAGCTGGAAGGTGTGCAGGTTCCAGTTTTAATTGATACTGGTTACATGAAATCCCTGCTTAGTTCAAGTGTCTTTCAGCGTATTTCTACACGCTGTGCACACCAAAAGAAAGCCCCTCCTCCACTTCGAAGCATATCCAACAGTTGTGTTTCTATTACCAGACAGCCGCTAAATGCTTCAGATTCCGCAGATCTTTCTTTGTCTTTTCCGGGAAGCCAATTTTTGTATGTGGGAGAGTTCTTGGTATGTGATAATGTGCTTGCCCCCATGCATTGTGTATTTGCTTGGGATCTTTTGACCTTTTATTCTTTGCATTCTACTGTTGTAGCGGATTCCTATTGCCTTGTTGGGCCCCATGGCAGCACACCTCTGACCCCTTTGTCTCTTCCTGTCCAACCATCACCCCCAGGTCTCTCTGCCCCAGTCAATTCATCTTTTAAGAAAGATCTACCTGTTTTTGTCCAATCATCAGACTATGGACCAGTCTTTGTGACCCTAAGCAATGTTATATCCATCCCAGGTAGAACAGAAAGTGTTATACAAGATCAGATTTCTAAGAGTTGTAGAGAACCAATAGGTATGGTATGTAGCCTCAGTGAAGACTTTGAATCGTCCGATATTACTGCATACAGAATTAGTCAAGCCTCTGAACGGATGATTCCAGTGAGAATTCTCAATCCGACCAGATCTTCTGTTGCAATCCATGCAGGCCAAAAAAGGTTTGCCATTGCCAATAAAGCAGCATCCACGGCGATTGCCTTATGCTCACAGAGGAGAAATTCGTAAACAGGTTATTGAAATGTTAGAGAAAGGGGTTATGCAACCAACCACTGTTATGTTGTTAAAAAGGGCCTAATCATGTGCTCACATATAATACGTTTTACTCCATGGCCTCGTGCTCTACAACTAACTCTTGCTGCCCTTCTCCGGTCGCAGGTATTTCTAATGATTTTTCATCATCCGCACCATTATAAAATTCCAAATCTTTTCTTTCCTGAATTGGCTTGAAAAATGAAATGTTCCTTGTTACGTATTGTCCATTTCTACAAGCTGTGATCATCGTTCCTTTTATTCGTACTATACAAAAAGGCTTCAGATCGAATTTGGATGTTAACTTGTTTCTCTTTCTTTGTCGAATTAGTACCAGATTGCCAATACTCATTTTACGTTCCTTAGCTCCTCTTTTCCGGTCTGCATTTTGCTTCATCGTTGCCTTTGCCTGTGTGTCGTTTTTGCGAATTTCTTCGTCCAAGGGCGATAGACTCTTTTCCACTGTGTCTGGCAACTTTATTCGAATTTTGCGATTAAAAAGTAGCTGTGCTGGAGGATATTTTTTTGTTGTGTGTGGAGTGGCACGGTAATTTAGAACGAATCTATAAAGCTCTTTTTTCCAATTTCTCCCCTCCACTTGTGCTGCTTTGATGGCTTTAGTCATTGGTTTGTTAAAGTTCTCAGCTTCGGAATTGGCTTGGGGCCACAACGGTGTTATGGGTTGAAAATGTATGCCATTTTCTTTCATGTAATCCTTGATGTCAGCACTGTTAAATGGTGGGCCATTGTCACTTTTAACAACGTGGGGCAATCCATGTGTTGCGAAAATTCGATCGAGTTTAGCAATTGTCGCAGAGGCTGATGTGGAATGCACAATGTCCACTTCTGGGAATCTAGAGTAAGCATCGATGACCACGAGAATATATTCTCCGGTAGGAAACGGTCCACAGAAATCAATGTGTACGTTATGCCAGGGCTTCGGAGGCAATTCGTTCATATGAAATGGGGCAGGCCTATTTTCCGAACCAATGGCTTGGCATGGTAGACAATTTGCAAGCACATCTTTGACAGATTTATCGATGTTAGGAAACTAAATTTTCTCTCGTAGAAGTTGTTTGGTTTTGACGATCTCTTGATGTCCTTCGTGAGCAATTTCTATGGCTCTATGGCGGAGAGGTTTAGGAAGAGCAATTCGTGATCCTCGCAGAATTAGGCTTGCATCATCATTGACAGTTAATTCGCTTCTTATTTTAGCGAATAAGTTTAATTCCCCTTTATCAACGTCAGGTGATTGCATACTTCGAATGTTGTTCCACGAATTATCATGAATAAGGCGTATTAGAGCTTGCAAGGTTTGGTCTGCGAATGTGGCATCTTGAATTTCTTTGTAGTCCATACACTTCGGAACAGCATGACGAGCTAGAAAATTGACGTATTTGTCGGCTGTTGATGATTGCGATTTACCAGTTGTATCCGTAAAGATGTGTCTTGATAAGAAATCCAAAGGGGTTTTGAGCTCCTTGTTTATAAACAATTTCAAAATCGTAATCCTGAATACGTAAATTCCAGCGTTCAATTCTAGCAGGTGGTCGTGATTACGGGTTAGACAAGATAAGTTCGACTGGCTTGCAATCTGTAAATAGCTTGAATTTCGCACCATATAAGTAAATGTGAAGGCGTTCAATAGCCCATACTATAGCTAATGCCTCTTTTTCAGTTTGCGAGTACCTTCTTTCTACATCTGAGAGCGATCGGCTTACGTAGGCTACGACTTTCCTGTCTTCTTGACCAGGTGTAGTTTGCGACAAAATAGCCGAAAAGCCTGTAGGCGAAGCATCCGTAAACAACTCAGTTTGTTTTGTCTGGTCAAAATATGCCATCACCTTGTCACTAGTCAGTGCCAACTTGATGCTATCGAGCGACTTTTGTTGCTTAGGGGTCCACCGGAAAACACTGATTTTCTTTGTTAAATTCCGCAAGGGCTCGCTGATATCACTGAATTGTGAAATAAATTTTGCACAGTAGTTTGCCATCCCTAAGAAACTGCAAATATCCTTGACTGACTGTGGCGGCGGGGCGTTGTGAATTGCATGAACTTTCTGGGGGTCGGCAGAGATTCCTTTGTCAGAAAACACATAGCCAAAAAACCTGATCTCCTTTTTGTTTAACTCGCACTTTGCCTTGTTTAACGTCAACCCCATATCTTGGAATCGTTTGCATACCGCATGTAACGCGCGGTCGTGATCGGCTTGGGTGTTACCATAAATGATAACATCGTCGCTGATGTTTACGGCACCCTCAATGTTCCGAATTTGTTCGTAAACGGCGTTCTGAAAAATTTCGCTTGCTGACGACGTTCCAAAGTTAAGACGTGTATATCTTCGTAACCCTTTAAGAGTAGCGAAAGTAGTGATTTGACGGCTTTCTTCTGAAAACACCAGTTGGTGGTAACCAGAGCGAAGATCTAACTTGGAAAAAACTGTAGCACCATTTAACGCGTGTATAAGGTCGTCGATGGTAGGGCTAGGGTGGCGTTCCCGTTGAATCGCGCGGTTAGGCATTCTCATGTCCACGCATAAACGAACAGTTCCGTCGTTTTTTGGAATGACGACCGAGGGGGATACCCAGGGGGTGCTTGTTTCTGCCACTTTTTCAATAATGCCTTGGTATTCCAAATCACGCAGAGTTTCCGACACTTTGTCGTTGAACGACAAAGATGGATATTTTTAGCTGCCTTGACCTGATGAAATGTTGATTCATCCAAAATATCGATCGATGCTCCTGTGTCCAAAATCATTTTCACAAGGATTTTATTAATTTTTACACGGACTCGTGGCATCTTTATTTCGCGTTGATCATCGCACGTAAACAAATAACCTTCGTCGCTGCTAGACTCTGGATTAGGCTCTTGTGTATGTTGAGGTGCTTTTCAATGTACATGATGTATTTTTCCTTTTTGATTTGTGAATTTATGACCTCCTTTCTTGTGGTCTTGCATAGGCGGGTCGTTAACGGCACGCGGTTGTTTCGCGCGGCTTTTACAGACTTTAGCAAAATGTCCAACACGCCCACATTTGCGACAACTTTGTGTCTTGGCGGGGCAAGGGGAAGTACGGTGAGGCCATGAAAAACCACAGTTGAAACAGGTTTGCAGCTGAGGCTTACGAACCAGCTGAGCAGTTTCCACTTGCATGAGACTTTCTTCTATATCTTTAGCTTGTGTATCGCTGGCTTCCAGAATACGTGCTTTTGATAACAACACGGCAAGTGTATGCTTCTCTTCCCGCAAAACAAGCCTTCTGAGTTGCTTAGACGAGCAGTTTTGTATAATCGCAGATTCAAGTCCCTTATCTAAATCTGTCAATTCACAATTTGTAGCAAGTTTGCGAAGTCGTGTAGCAAATTGATCAGTAGTTTCTCCAATCTTCTGTTTGGCTTGGCGAAATTGAAAAATTTCAAAGTCGACATTTTTCTGCGGTGTTGGCAACAGCGGGGCAAAGTAAGTGTCAAGTTTCGCCAACGCTGTCTTGCAATCTGCAGCTTCATCTTGCTCAACTGGGAGGGAATCGAAAATTTCTTGAGTGGCGGCACCTGCTTGGTACAATAGTAAGGCACGTTTCTGAGCATCATCAGTTATTTTTACGGCAAGTAAATATGTTTCGAAACGGCGTTTCCATTGCTGCCATCGTTGGCTTATGGACGTCGGGTCGGACACAGGGTCGAACGGTGGAAGCGGTAATAAATCCAATCGTGCTG